ATATAACATTTTAGACACATTCTAGACAGTTTATCAGCTAAAAAAAAGTTAATTTTGGGGTAAGTTACTCTTTAACAGAATGATTTAGACGTTTCAGGATGTTTGTTTTAGCTTTTGTTTTCGGACAAACAAAATTTCAACCTAAAAWATAGACAAGTGTGAATTGCAAAGCAATAATCAAGACGATCACTTATGAGAGGAAAGAAAAACAATTTAGAAAAAAAAAAGTGGATATTGAGGAAGCTGAAGAATATTTTTAATTATTTTGTGTATTTTAATTGCCCCAAGATTCTACAGGCATTATCATCATCTTTTTGTTATTATAATTATTACTTTGAAGCAATAAAAATGTCCTTTTCCACACGTCCCTAAACCAAAAGGCTCAACGTTTGCTGCATTTGAAGCCTCTAAATGAGAGAAAAGCTCACAGTACATATAAGAAATAAAAGCAGGACTTCAGACCAGGTGTTGTTGTTTTACTCACCTGTACCTTCACATCTTTTACACACACTCACAAAAAAAAAACACCCAAAAAACGAAACGTTACCCGTGGCGTGAGCAGGAAGTTGTTGCAGCAGTTACAGTTGTGTCGTTAGGAGTTACAGCTTTATCCAAACGTGTAGCACCTGCCGTTACCATGGYACTGAGCCCACAGCTGATTTTAATTTGATAATCAACAGACTCTCTCGGCTCCAAGTGGGGTCTCTGCGGTCGAGTGGGCGTGTCACAAGGAAAGGCGATTCTAAAGCGACACACCTGATTTGACGGACTTTGTCAAAAAGGACACACTTGACTGGACGAAGCAAAAAAGGGGCGTTACTGTACGGCACCACTTTTTCTGGAGAACCCTACTTGGGTCACATTTCTCCCGTTTAACCTTAGTGTTGGGGTCAGGGTTAGGCTGTAAAGACATCAAGCAGGATCTAAGGATACCGTCATGTAGGCCTCGTAGCCCACAGTGTTAATGCTTTTGACACGCCCACTCTTGTGACACGCCTACTTTGATTCCGCAGATAACCCCTTCTCCTCAGGTCTGTTCTACTCCACACTTTGAAAAAAATAAATAAATAAAAAATAACAGTTTTTGTTCATTTGTGAAATAGCAAATAGTGAGTTTTATTGTTAAACATAAATTCGTCTAGAAATTGCACATTTTAGTTTTGTTAAAAACAAATATTGTGTCCTTTTTCATAMCTAATTCATGCTGCTCCAGTTCACGAGTGTTTTCAAAAGAACTCATCTACTGTCAAATGAAAATGAGATAGTATTTGTACCAATGTTTGTGTTCATTTGTCACCTGTTAGCAAAATATCTCATAAATAAACGAGACRATAATAATGAAATTCTCAGTAAGTAATACCTGAACGCTCACAGCTCATTGGAGTTTACCCTGTTCAAGACGTCTGCCACAGATATTAAATCCCAGCAAACACATAGACGGTTATAAATTAGTCAGCTTTACAGATATTGAGCTAAATTTTAATGGTATATTTATTCGCAACACAAAGCTACTCTGAGAGCAAGCTGATCTCTTATTATGTTTTTAAACTGCAGTTATGGAGTCAACTCTGTYGATCTGTTAGCAAAATATCTCATGAAACACATAACAGATTTTAGTAAATCTCTCAGAAAGTAATCACTGGGTGGGCATGTTGAACTCATGAACTTCTGGAGTCAGTCCATGTCAAGAAGGTCGACATAAAAAACATGATTCTAAATAGGTCAGTTTTACAGATATTGAGTTAAAGTTTGGCACGCTGGTAGTTTGACATAAGCTTTAAACATGAATGAAATGTTAATCAGTTAGAATGTGAAGTTTTTATGGTAAAGATAGAAAAATATGAAAATCTCAAATTCACAAGCAGCAGGGTTTACCAAGTCTCACTACCATCATTAAAGGTAGTGAGGCCAGTAATGATAGTAGTCCTTTAACTCAGGGATCTTAAGTAAAAAATAAATAATCTTTAATTTAAAAAAAAAACGAAGCATTTCTCTAAGTTTTATTTACGTTTGTTATCAGTTTATAGTGAGTTTTTTTGTGGAATCCTTACTTTCATTCTGCAACAACAAAATACTCAGATCGTTCTTGTAATACTTTCTATGAACACAAGATGTCAGTGTTTCCAAAGAGAAGTTGTTCCTTCAGGAGCTGTTTGAAGATTTCTAAAGAGCAAAAACCACTGAGATGGTTTTTGTTGTTGGATCTCCAACTAATTTTGTAGTTTTTAAAAACCTAATCCTAATCCAGTTTGTTTCTTTTATATCTACATTCASTTTGGGAATCATGACTGGAATTAAAAGCCTTACAATTTTTAAAGAACTTCTTTCTTTTTATAAATCCCAAAAAAACTAAAGGAACGTTTAGTCTTTCAGTGCAAGCCAGCATAACTATTTTGAGATAAGGTCCAYAAAATCCGTGTAACATCAAGGCATTTTTCACAGAAAGGATTTATGAAGTTTCATAGGTTTTTTCCAGGTACTTCAGTTTCTTCATGCAGACCGAAAACATGACAACTGTGTTAACTGGCGACTCTAAATTGTCTTCAGTGCAGTTGTGAGCGAAAGCATGAATAGTTGTTGGTCTTTTTGTGGCCCTGTGACGTACTTGCAACCTGTCCAGAGTCTTCTCCGCCGTATCCACAGTGACAGCTGGACACACCTGTGACCCCTGTGACCTGGGAAGGAAGAAGTGGGTAAAAGATGGTGGATGTTTTATCCACTGTAAGCTTAAATGTTGTTTGACCTCTTACTTGGGGTATTAATAAACTGCAAATGTATTTTGTCTTACATGGAGCAGTAAGAAAATACTGTACAAWTTATAYTTTTTYYTTTCTTTTTTTTTGGTTCAAACGTAGTTTGACAGCTTTAGATTTTACAGCCAATAAAAACTGACTTGGATGAACTTGAAAATGTGATACACAACAAAACAAACTCATTAAAGTTGGTAACATCTGTTTAAAATTKTATTTACYGTTGTTCAAKCAGGCAAATCCCATTGAGATCTCAGATCTCTTTTTCAAAGTAGGCCTGGGACTGAAGGCAACCTATYGTACATGTTTTTGTGTTGTGAGGGAAACCGGAGTACCTGGAGAAAGCCCASACAAGCACAAGGAGAACATGCAAACTCTGCACAGAAAAACYCCAGGTCCAAACCGRRGATYGAACCCAGGGCCTTCTTACTGTGAGGCATCGRTGCTAACCACTCAGCCGGCGTGCTGACCACAAACTAAAATTAAAGGCGTAAAAATCCTGGAAGCAATGCATGTCACCCACCACCTCATCAAGAGTTTTTAATCAGGATCATCTTTTGTTGTGAATTGAGATGGTTCTGGTCAAATCAAAGACCAGTGAGCTGTGGTTTGCATCAGACTGACTCCAAAAGTCAAGCCTATGTCAAACTGTTTTGCCAGATATTTTGCTAACAGACAAACAAACACATGTAAGGCCAGAACATGCTTTATGTATGTAGGTGTGCTATACTGTGAGCAGAAAACTGGTACGTTTGGTGGAGTTAAAAACATTGAAAGAAGGAAAAATAAAACTGTTGCCATGCAGTAATCTGACAGATGGTTGATGAAACGGCCACAGCAGTATTATATTATACAAGGAGAAACACATTTTATGATCAGGACATCTAAAACTATAATAAAATGTATAATCTTTACGAGGTTTCAAAGCTGTTGTAGTTTCTCACTAAAGAAAACAATGGTGACGAGGGGACAAAGGAAAGCTAAACTTTAGGAGCTCCATGATCAGTAGTTATTGACGATATAATCAAACTGCAGAGTTTAACAGGAGACCTGATGCCTTCCTCTCCTGTTCCTGTGGGATCATAAAGAGACGGCAGCTGCTCGCAGAGTTTGTGGCTCCCTGGTGTTTTGGTTGATGAGCTGTAGTTTGTGGCTCCAAACGAGGAGCGCGTGTGGCAGTCGCCCCCCTGATACATCATTAATAGTTGCTCYACTCCAGGCTCTGCTTCTTCTCCTCTGAATTTCAGACTTTCACAGCTTCTTACCCCTGCATACATCTTACRGACGCCCCCACCGCAGACGCTCTTTGTCTCCTGCATTATTTTCTCTGTTTACTCTCTCCTCCCCAATGCGGCTCTGCCTCCTTATTGTTCTCCACCATCATACCTGTTTAGTGATGAAGACTTTCACTCCCTCTGCTGTGTGCCAGCTGCTGCTCAGAAATGACATCAAACGCAGGAATTAGAAGCTGGAAGAATAAAGGATCATCTTTCATTTCAGTGTAATGATTGCTCCTCTCTCTCTGGTGTTCTTGTAGATCTCAGCTGATTGTGACAGGTGTGTCTTGCAAATATAAAAAGGATTAAGAAAAAGATTTGGCAGAGCTTTGAGAGATGTAGATTCCCTAATGGTGGCRGTCTGTTTAGGTTGGTACTAATGAGGTCAGACTTTTAAAGAAATTCCTCAGCATCTCAGGAACGATTCTTGTTCTYCTTCAAAACCTGGCACCAGTTTGTTCTGTTTCCGAAGTAGAAAATACAGCCACCAACTGCAAGAAGCTGCATAATACAATGGGTGTGAAAAGCAAGTGAAACTCTTTTTGTTCTATTGCAACAAAATCCACCATGCCTCCTCAACGATGCTCATCAAAACACTTTTGCTGTTTCACCCAGAAAGAAGAAAGATTTAAAACTGAAACCCTTAAAAAAAGATATACGTATATCGGACACTAAATAACATGTTGTAACATGTTGGTCCAAGAGAGCCAAAAACACTGAAGCTGTCACATTTTTTTTGTTTGCCTTTATGTCTGAATAAAAAAAAAATCCAACTTTGGTTGATTTATTTTACTGAACTGAGGAGATGTTTTGTTTCAAGTTATNACTGAGGAGATGTTTTGTTTCAACTTATGAGTTGTGACATTAATTACTCAACTTACAGAGAGACAAAGGTCTTTGTCCAGGCTAGGCTAACCTTTTTATTTTTATTCTGTTTTTCAAGATTACAAAATAATTATTTAGTAAAAATGACATACTAGTGTGAAACAACACCACATTAGCTAAAAATGAATTTGTCATGCAAGTSTATAGGTTTACTATTAGCTAATTTACCACTCTTTTGCACCACTTAGCATGGCTAGCGAGCAATTAGACGATGACCTCGTTCGTGGTCAAGAGGTCATTGTCAGGAGGCTCATGCTACACTTGCATCACATTTTAACAACCAGAAAACGTATTTTTGCATCATTCTAAAAACCTTTTAAGACATATCACGTTTCTCTGTGGGCTGAGACTCGGCCAACATAGCGAGATGAAGGTCTCTCCTCTTCCTCTCCTAGTTTGCAGCACCTTATGTTCTTCTCCTGCTTTCTGGGACTACTCAGCCCACCTGGTTGAGAATCAACTTTTGATTAAATTCTGTGACATCATCACAACAAGCTGGAGTTAAAAAAAACTAATCCAACTCCTTTAAAAACCCTCGGGGTCCATCACTGTCTCAGTAAATCCCCGCTTTTCTTTTCCCACCACCTCTGAGGACCCCCCACCATACTCACACAGCAAACAAAACACACCAGAGTTCATCAGTGTGTTCATTTAATCAGGTTTGTAATTTAATGGACAACATAAAGCTCAACGTATCTGCGAGGCAGCAGAGGAGACGGAGCTTATCGGGTTTATGCAGGGGCTAATTACAGAACCAGGAGACTGACGCACTGTCAGGAGAGACAGTAACATCATTAAGGGGAGAGGAGGAATGTGTGTGTGCGTGTGTGTGTGTGTGTGTGTGTGTGTGTAAGAGAGAAATTATGACAGAAGGTAATGCAAAATAGAAACAAGTGACAGCAGATGCAGTCCTTCTCAGGTGTCCGTGTCCTTCACTGGATCAGAAAGGTCCAATTAGGATAAATTATTTATCAGGTTCAGTTTTCCTCTCAGCAGTTCCATGAAGACAACATTAACTACAGAGGACTGTTCCTCTGCTGCACGATTAAAGTTGAACATGAACACTAACCACCAAAACTAAAACTGGTTATCTATGAAGGAATGCTGATCGTCTGCTATCTTTCCTACCAGAGTTTTAGACAAAAAAAAGTAAAGAAAAACCTTCTGAAATCTTGAACATAATGCTCTCTCATGCGGCTCGGGTGGTCGCTGAGGCAAAAACCCGGGCGTGGGAGGAGTTTGGAGAGGCCATGGAGAAAGACTTCCGCACGGCTTCGAGGCGATTCTGGTCCACCATCCGGCGTCTCAGGAGGGGGAAGCAGTGCAGCACCAACACTGGTGCTGCACTGCTTCCCCCTCCTGAGGATGGTGTGCTGCTGACCTCAACTCGTTACGTTGTGGGCCGGCCGGTGGGCGGAATA